ATTTGATAAAAATTCACAAACTTGAGGAAAAATGCAAATTTCTTCACTTTGATTATTTTGACGAGAGCCTGATTCCACCACGCTTCCTCACATATAACTTTTGTGAGAGCATCTGAGCAGAGAAATGAATGGCGAACCATGATGGCTGTTGTCTGTCGCTGATCTTGCACTTGATGATGATGATGATGATTACAACTATTACAGGGCAAGTTCAACTGTAGTTTTATAATTCAGGTCATCTTTTGTTCATTTATGTTGGAGATGATTGTTAAAAGTGTTAAATGAGTGATTTGTTTTGAGTGTTAAAAGAATTATTTGTCTGCAACAGCATGTCAGTGATTTTTAAAATCCATGATGTGGCAAGTGTAAAAACAATCAGAAACAGGGGACAGTGACCACATCTCTGCCATGGTTTGAAGGACGATGTAATTGCCAGTCGAGCACTGTATGCCATGTTTTTTTGTGGGTTTGTTGTTTTTTTTGCATGCAACTTGAATTCTCGATTTTCGCAATTTAAAAAGAATTTCTCAAATTCAAGCCGTTTGTTGAATGTTTAAAGAGAGGCTACTGCATTGCAGCACGTGACCCTAGATAACTCAAACTGAATTCAAGACATTCACGAAAAATGAAATGCGCAGAATGGAAGAAAAGAATGTGCCAAAAAAGAGCCTGTGTACAGTGTATTGAAGACAAAACTCACCCTGGGGTAACTGTTGTCTTAACACTTTCCACCCACGCAGCTCGCAGAAGCACGCTACACTGACTTATCCCCACGGACCAGGATTCAGATGCGGTACACGCTATATCACACACCATTGCCAATTGGCATCCCTTGGGGAAAAGGGACAGCTTTTTACCGTCGCCGATCGGCGTCCCGTGGGGACAAAGTGTTAAATATCAAAGGATATGTGTGTACAGCAGCAAGACTTGTTCACTCTTCATTATCATATGATGGTTGATAAAGAGATTCATTTCCTTCACAGCCTTGCCGCATGTTTCTCTCGGAAGCAGACACCCAATTCATGCTCAATGAGATGATCAGCAAATGCGAGCACCAATTTTTCAGGTAGATGACATACTTTGGAGCTGTTTGATCATTTTTTAATGATTTGCTCTGGTTCTTATTTTATGTTGTGGGTCTAAAAGATGCAAAAACAAGAGTGTGCCTCAGTTTCCCCTTTGAAAAATATAAGTTATTTTCTTTTCTTGATGTATCTTGTTTTGCCTTCATGGAACTGAGGATTTTGTCACATATAGTCTGGCTTATGTTACTTCATTTTTTTCCCCAGCATATCGCAGCCTCAGTGCTTTCTTGTCCTATCTCCATTTTTTTTCTACATTGAAAATGTGACTTCTTCTTAAGCTCACTCTTTGTTATGAACTATAATAAACTGTTTTCCCTGTTACTAAAAATGGAGAAAGGACTAGAAAGCACTGAGGTCGCGATATGGCAATCTTAGTACGCTTTATGTCACCAAAATTTTTTTTCTAGCATATAGCAGTTTATTCTCTTTAGGATGTGTATGCTGATGAAGTTTACAGCAGCTGTTAGTTTGCCACATACAGTAACTACAGCATTCATTGTTTTATTCATTTATGCTGATGAAGTTTACAACAGCTGTTAGTTTGCCACATACAGTAACTACAGCATTCATTGTTTTATTCATTTATGCTGATGAAGTTTACAGTAGCTGTTAGTTTGCCACATACAGTAACTACAGCATTCATTGTTTTAT